CGAATTGGGAAGAGTCATATCGAGTCATCGAGATCGTCCGAGATGAAATCTATTACCTCAAGACAATAAATGGAGTGGTGCTATCGAGGACATGACACATCACAAACTTAATGAAGTTTTACCCCTAAGATGTCCTTTAGGATTAGGTTGGGGAGACTATGCCTCAAGCATCGAGCATTAATCTATCATGTCTTTGGCATCAATTGTAAAGTATATCTATACTTTTAAGATGTCAGTGTTGCAAGCTAAGGAGAAAGAAATTCATTACTATAAAAAAGATTATATCAACTCGATCGAGCTTGTACATCCAAAATGAGATCCCGACCTTTTAAGCTAGAGGATTAATTAGACGGACAAGCCTAACGACACTATAAGCAGATGACAAAAGGAATAAGATAGGTAGACAAACTCGACAACTCCAACCCTCTACTGAACTCAGCGAAGGCCTTGTAGTTAATAATCACTTCCTTTTGATACATCGATATCATGCATTGCTCAGTCTCTAATGCCTCCTTCAAACCCTAAACCTACTCGGCAATGCTCATGACTCACTCATTGGGCACAACAACTTGCTCAACGAACTCCGAGTTGTATATTCTCATCGAATCTAACTCTCGGGTAAGTTATAGCAGCTCATTATCTATATTTCGGTTGTTATTCTAGACCTCTCTTAATTGTGGTTGTTATTCTAGACCTCTCTTAATTGCTTGGCGTAGTTGGCAAGGCGTCGCTCGACCTCTTTTAGCTGCCTTGGCAACTCAACCACCCAAGCCCTTGCCTCGGCAATAAGCGCAAGGTCTCCTCTCTCCTTCTTTAGCCCCTCCACTTCTTCGACCTCTTTTAGAGGCCTTGGCAACTCAACCACCCAAGCCCTTGCCTCGGCAATAAGCGCAAGGTCTCCTCTCTCCTTCTTTAGCCCCTCCACTTCTTCATAAAGATTATCAATTATGAGAGACTACCAATAAATGACGGAGCTAGCATCTTATACACAATCAATAAGGGTCACAACGTAATGGTGATATTATAAACCAAAGACAAAGAGATAAGCAATAAGGAACTAAAGAGACCAGCAATGATTTAACTTACTAACACGCCAACTGGCCAATAACTCCATTTTGGTCCTT